TTCATGACTTCATGTAGTATAGACATATAGTGTCTAATTCAAAGTCAAAGTCACAGTCAAACGGTAGAATGTAAAAAATGTTAATTCCATAGACCATAGCGTAGAATCTGAATTTCCACCGTCTCCACAAACAAATTACCCTCACATGGCGGTGAAAAAGACGATGATCAATCTGCAGCAACAACTCTACCAAAATTCCTGGACTATGCTCGAATTCGAACAAATTCTTGAACATCAACGTCTCAAATGGACCCCATTTCTTTTTAGCTACGCCTGTAAATTTGTCAATTTTTAGGTAAAATTGTAACCCTTTTCATTGTTCTTATTATTTTGTCTGCTTTTTATTGTTCTTTGTTCTTTCTTCTTTGTACTATTAATTGCGTGAGAATTTGTCTTGAAATTCGTATTATAGTTGATTAGATTGCTCTTTTAATTAGTGGGTATTAACTGGAACTCTGAATTATTGATTAATTAGTTTATAATTTGAGCAATTTAGTGGGCCATTAATGAATTGTTTATGCTCACTGACATTGCTTCTCGTTGGTTTTCTCCAAGTTCTTTATTGCTTTTTATTTACTGGCGTGGGTAGGAAGCCAATTTTTTAAACCCCCTTGTTATTTGATTAATGTAAGCAATCAACTATGAGGTGCATATGTAGTGTTACTTAATTTGATGGTACGCTTTGGTAACATGAAACCGATGTCGGCTGCGATTCGCTATCTAGTTTAGTTGAACTCATTCGAACGTGTAACATTGAACTATTATTTGTGGCCATGTGGGATGATTAGTGAACTAAGGGAATATTTGAATCTTAAAAATGGAGAATTGAGCTGTTCTTCTCATGCTAGAATTGGGTGTAGTAAATTTAGGCGTTGTTCTCCTCGCTTTATTTTCAATTACTTGAGCCTTATTGCCTTATTGGAGAGATTGTTATATACACCGGGTGTACCGTACACCCATGGGTAATTTATACCCATTTTGATAATTGTTTTTCATTTAATCATCAAATGATGAAGAAAAACTAACCTATGGTTAGTTAGGTGTACGGTACACCCTATTAGGAGTAAGTTTTGTTAAGAATTAATAAGTTTAGATAAGATAATGTAAGGGTTAGTAAGATCAAATAATAGAAGATAAATAAAGAATTGTTAAATGCAACACATTGCGAGGGCTAATAAGTTTTAGTAAGGTCTGATAAGATCTATAGGGCCCAATAGGATAATAATAAATATAAGGGCTAATAAGTTTATTTAAGATAAGATACTTTGGGCTACTAAGCCCGGATAGAATAATATAAGTGAAATTCAGGTAAACAACACAACTCCTCATGTCTTAGAATAATTGAAGATTTGATATATTTTTTTTCACTATACTATATCAATTATTCTGTGATGGAGTATTTTAGTATAGCTTGAAAATGTTATGTTTGGATGCTATCTTACTTGGACTCGGATGAAGTGTTAAATTAGGCACGGGTGTCCAAGCATCGAACTCGCCCATTTTTTATAAAAAAGTTGTGCTTTTAGTTAAAAATGAAGTGTCCAAGTGTCAGTGTCCGACATGTGTCGTGTCGACACAGACACGTGAGGTAAATGAAAGAATCCGAGTAACATAGTTTGGATGTAAAAAGCCAATGATAGGTCTTTATGGCATGGAAAAGAGTTAGTCATACCAATTGCTTCTTTTTTCTCGAGCTAAATTTTGGGTGTTCTCTTCACTTGAATTCTACTTGTTCAAAACTTATTAGACATAAACTTAAAGCATTTGAACTTATTGGCCTGTCTCCAAACTTGTTAGTTGACAATTGAAATAGATATCCCTTAATGATCCTGAACTTATTTGTATCAATTACAAACTTATTGCCTATGAACTTACCTTATATGAACTCATATTATTTTTGTTCGAACTCATTAGCCCAAAATTATCTGAATTGAACTTGATTTAGAATATTAAGTAGAGGATATGTTAGTCAGGCATATGGGTTTGTCCATTGTAGTCCTAACCTGCAATAAGTTACCATCAATTGTGCTGAATTTGGAAACACTACAGCCATTGAGAATTTCTTGGCTTAAACAAAAAACATTGGTGTGAGGAGAATATGTAACTAGATGTCTAGATGTGAGGTTATAGTTTAGAGGCCTCCAACTTTTATTGAAATTTTGTTTGAAATTATTTTGAATGCGGATAAGACTTTTTCATTTAGAAATTTTGTTTGTAAATATTTTGAATGCAGATAAGACTTTTTCATATAACCTGCATTTTATGTTCTTTCGGGAGAATGATGCACGTCATCCTGCTGGATTTAGGATTCTCGGTGAAGTGAGGTGCTTATTCCTTTGAGGAATTTTGATTGTTATTGTAAATGCTATAACAATAAGACATGAAAAAATTATTTATTGTATGATTCGTCGTAGTAGCATATAAGTATTAACCACAATACTTATTATTACTTACCTCGTTGTTTTAGTTGACACGTATTTCTTTTTAAGAAGTTTATTTTTAGTTGGAAGGTTGTTTTTTATTTTTATTTTTTTTATTTTTTTTTTGTTGTGGGTAAGTTTATACCTTACATTTACTAATGTATCCCACTTGATTTATTATTCTCTCTCATTCTCTCTCCTCTCCTTAATTGAACGCGTCAACTAAATAGAAACGGAGGAAGTATTTTTTTTTTTTTTTTTTTATCTTTTTTTAAGTAAAGCTTAAAAGGGTAGTCTGCTTCAAGGTTCTGTAGTGAAAATAATTGTTCTTGAGCTACTCAAGAGTGTCTTAGTTTTGCTATCTATCAAGTTCAGCAATCAGAACAACACCCTTTTTGTAAATATTTTTTTTACTATTATTATTTTTAATGTTCTTGAGGACTGATCATTCCTTGTGAGTTAATTGACTTTAAGTTTAAGGATAAAGAAATCCAGGGATATTTTTTATATTAACAAGCCAAAGGAGCACCCTTTTTTTAATTTTTTTAATTTTTTTTAAATTTTTTTAATTTTTTTTTAAAATTTTTTTTAAATTTTTTTATTTTTAATGTTTATGTATAAGCTTAATGGTCTTGACTCTTGAGGTCTGATCATTCCTTGTGAATCAATTGACTTTAAGATAAGAAATCTTGGAATATTCTGAATAATTAAAAAGCCAAAGGCATACAGGATGTTAAGTATGAGCCTGAATTAGGTAAGAGGTGAAGAAGTTTATACAAAGTAAATAACATCTTATTTTAATTTGTTTGATATAATATTGTGCTACCTAAGATTGTGGTAATGAGAATTAAATTAATCTGTATAACAGTTAAATTGGTTGAATATGAAAGCTGTGCGTCACATGAGTGTCATTAGCTGCGCAAGGCATTTTATTAATTACTTTTTGGAATAGGAGGTAGTTAAAGTATCGCCTTTCCTGTAAAACTTGGGTTTCTGGTCTTTCTACGAGGCTTTTATACATTTATACTTGCTTGCAGCCTTGTAAACTTAATTTTATTACTATGTCTGGTGGGGAATGAATTCTCTTTCACTTACCGAGCTGCTAGTTTGAGGTGTTCTATCTGACTGTTTGTTATCCATGTACACTTTTTATCTTATCATGCAATTCACGTATGTTATTCCTACTCCCTGATATATAGAGCAATTTTATCATTTTCCCTACTCAACTTGGAATCTTGTTTCACCATAAAATATTATATTGAACTTTTGAAGAGTATATATGATTCCTACTCCCTGATATATGGAGTGTATGTGATTCCTTTTTACTGATATGTAGAGCAATTTAAAAGAATTTCCTTGTATTTTGGCGATTGGCACATGATATATAAAATGGTAGCTATTATGTGGAGAAATTACAGCTGGATACGTGACGAGGTAATTTTCTGTCCTGTGGTAGTTTACTAGCATAATTACGGAAATAGGCTGTGAGTATGTGAATCTGAGCTTCAGTTCTCTAACTGTCTACATTCTCTACAATAAGCGTATTCTATAAACTATCAGAGAATATCCTGTAACCTTCTGGGACAAAATAGGGGATGGTTTCCAAGTTTATTGCTAATTCAGATCGGTTCTTGTGCTCTGGGACATTGACAAAGCTTATGAATTTTTTATTATAGAAACAACTGCTTGCCATAGGCAGTGACTTGCAGGATTTAACATATTTTTTTTTATTTACATGCAGGATTTTATACATTTTGATATTTTATCCATTAACTTGCAGGATAGGGACTGTATTTTATAAGATCAGTGTCTAAAATTGGAGCTTCTTCAAATCGTCATGAAAGACACTTGTGAGGTATGAGCTATATATTAATTGAATATTTATATGTAACATTGTATCATTATAATAAAAGGAAATACTTAATGCATCTCTGTCCTATAAATCTATAATAATGAAAACTTGTAAACGCTCCACCAAAAAAATATGTCCAATGTATTTTTCTGGATTCCTGGATATAAATTATGTATCAAAACCATCAATCCTCTTAGTGTGATGATGACAGTCATGAAAATTTGTAATGGGATCCCACTTGTGTAAATATATTTATTGGCAAATGATTTAGCTTGAAAATTTGTGGTTTATTGATTAAAAGTTTTCAGAATCAACTCTATCAAAGACCGTACAGCATCTATGCCTTAAGTCCCAATGTTTATAGTTGCCCAACGCACCAACCTACTACTATTTTGCTTTCTTGAGAGTGCATGCATCTCAGGATTCAGATCTGAATTAGAAAGCCTTCTTTCATTCTCTCTCACCCCTCCCCCCTCCCCCCCCCCCCCCCCCCCCTCTTTTTTTTTTTTTTTAATAGACTTCTTATCTGCTATATATCATTAGTAATTAGGTGATACATGAGTTTATAGTTCGTGTATCTTTCATTTTTTTTATCCAGTGTTTCTTTGCAGTCATGTAATTCTTTTTTTCATGAAATGACTCCTAGCTAACGGCTCTGTTAAACTTGATGTCATCTGTCAGCCAGGAGTTAATAGTTGAGTATAAAAAAGTTTGGACTACATTGACAGTTGAGAAACAATTAGTAATGTGATATTCTTAGTTCCAAAAATAATTTAGTTAACTTGTTGTAATTGCTTTGCTTGGACTGTTCTAAATACAATTTTCCTTGATCACTGAGATGAAAAAATTGATAATAGTTAGGCATATTCTATATTTATCATGTACAGGAATTTCTAAACGGTTCCTTGGTTGACAGTCTTGACATGCATATTTTTCTGCATTTCAATCGAGTTTTCTGGACTCTAGAAAAGCCTTCTTCTTTGGTTCACATGATGAAACATACTCAAGGAAAGTGGCAAAATCTGTGTCCTTGTAACGCCTTGGATTATTTTTGTTAATAAGTTTGGGTGAAGGTTGAATAACACGCTCGAAAGGAAGACTGTGAAGAGATGCTACAATTACACGTGTTTTCTCTTGATTCACTAGTACTCTGTGTAGCACACTCCTATACTTTCCATTGCTAAATATCTGTAGCAAAATAAAATCAAAATCTGCATTTAGTTTACTGTAACATAACTGTTCCAACTTCCAACAATGCAAGTAAACATATATTTGTTTGTTTTTATGGAATTGATGGAAGAATCTACCTCTAGATGATTACCAATATTTACAACAAAAGCATTTGGGATCGGATCAACTGTCAACCATTTTTCTTCAAACTGTATTTGTAAACCCTTGACTTCATCCTGGAGAAGAAGGGTTAGGAAGCCATAGTCTGAATGTGGTGGCATCCCCAGTGTGAGTTCAGGTTCTGGGCACGGTGGATAGCAATTTGCCACCATCATCTGGCTCCCCTCTTGAAATTCTTGCAAAACTTCATTTTGTTCTGCTATATTCATTTCTGCATTCCACAGTCCAAGGCTCTCTAGGATGGCCCTCATTAGCATCAAAAACAGGTTTCTAGTTTGCGTTGAGTAAGCAGCTGCCTGATCCCTATAGAAGAATTTAAAAAAGTAATTAGGATTTTTATTTTTATTTTAAAATTCTTGGAGGGCAATTTAAGACCACTAATTCTACTTGTTTATTCTCAAAAAGGAAAGGCAGCCACAAAATCTATCCTCTGCTGGCTGTCCTACTGCTTAAACGAATCATTGCGTTGTAAAATAATCATCAAGTGGGTAGGGTTGCATAAAAATATTAATTGTATGTTATCTCTGTTACTACCTCAGGTCTTCTGGTGAAGAGGGCCAGAGTGAAAAGACATCTGGTACGGGGTGGCAAACAAGCTTCAGAAAGTCTCTCCAACAGTAGTTTCCGTCTTTGTTCTGATTAAAGCTTGTTCCATATCGGACTGGTGCTTTCATATCTGTGGACATGTACTTGTGTCGTTCCTCGAATGGGAGCTCAAAAAATCTTTTGCATACATCAGTCATACTGCTAATAGAATCTGTGGGAATGCCATGATTTACTACCTGCAGCAACATGTTAAATGGTAAGTTTTATGCTTAAATATTTATGATTAGCTTCAGATCTTAGCATGAAAGCAATTGTGGGAATGGTGCATTGTGGTGCTTAAGGGTTGTAGCTGACCAACCTGAAAGAAACCATATCGTTCACAAGCATTAGTAAGGGATTTGAGCACTTGAGACCGGTTAGGTCCTTGTAGTTCAGCAAAGTCTATGACTGGAAGTTTGATGTTTGTTTCCTGAATATGTGATTCTTTTCTCATGTTTGGACGGTCTGGGATGGGAAAGATGTACTTGTTTGGAACTTTCTTGATTCCATTCTCATGGAGATGCCTCACACCTTTCTGGTATTGGTTTTCTGATTGGCTGTCTCTCATCTTCTTTTCTGATTGTAGCGAGATTGCCGGAGACATTAGTTTGAACAGATTCCTGTGACATGCATAAATAAAAGGTCAATTATATAAACATGTACGGAATAGCAGATGAGAGAAGGGGAGGATAAAGTCAACGCTGTATTAAGTACTACCCGTACCTTTCTTTTATGGATGAATGAATACAATGAAGGAAAGTTCACAAGTAATTTGTTTGAGATTTATGATAATGCAGCACTCAATTTATAGAAGTGGCTTAGCAAGGCTACGTCAAAACAACAGTTGCAAGTTTTTGAAAACCAGCACTTTGGAAAACCAGCTTTGGTATATATTTTTATTAGCAAGGGGGTGGGGGCACCAAGTCCAGAAAAACCATCACCGGATTATTTAATTCAAGCAAAGCAATCTTTCCTATATAGTATGACCATTGACCAAAGTTTGGGTCAAAGAACGAGTTCGTGGGGTCCTAGGCTTTCTCCATCTTTGTACTACCAAATAATGTCAAGGCTTAATTTATTATTCCCCTTGATGTAGTTCTCACTTGAATATTTTATGAGTCATGCAACTGGCTGACTTTTGGCATAATGTTTTTTAAAAAATATAAATTAAAATAGGGTCTATATCTTATGTAGGCTGTCTATTGTGTTGAAGTCCTAATCATGTCATCAAACTCTTTTAATTCAGTGTATCTTTTCGGATGCTCAAGCTAAAAAACTGATGCTTAATAATTGCTCAAGTTGTGATGTTTTATGCTGGACAGCAAAGTAAAGAACAGTAGTTATGGACAAATTACAACTTTCCCTGCATTTAAATTGGTATATCATTGTTGGTGTGTGGGTTTGGTGCTAATACTGCTAACACTAAGTCCAATGACCCGGGTAGGAGTTCTACTGCAGAAGTTTAGAGTAGTAAATTCTGAGAATATTGAAACCCATTCATTTGAACACCTATTTGTAATTTATTTACTTCTTGACATATCCTTTATGTCATAAGTTACCTAGTCGTACTTTAAAGCATGCTTGACATATGACTGGTTTTGTTTGGTAATAGTAAATTTTCCGCAGGCAATATTCATCAGAATCGGCACTCAGCAACTGGGGTTTTCCGTCCCGCAGCGTGTATAGAGAAAGTATGTAATTAGTAGAATCTTCCCCCTAACCTGTATTCAATGACAACATATATGGCCATGCATCAATCAACTGAGTTTATTATGAATTTTGTTTGACAATGTCAGAATATTTGGGAATTTTTTGCAACTTGCACTTGTATTGACTTCTGCATATTAAATCAGTTGACTGGTATTGTTGGTGTTAAGTTTATAACATCCTGCATATTAAGTTTATGACCATATTGAGGAAACCAATTAACCAATACTCTTTTTACTAATTAAACTATATGTGGTGACTGGTGACTCTAGAGAATTTAATTATCTTTTAGCTATTGCAAAAGGCATTTACAGATTTAGGTGACATTACATAGCTGATTGGCTAGGAAGAGATAAAACCAAAAAAAAAAAAAAAAAAGAAAAAAAAGATAAATGTTGGGAAGATAAGGAGTGGCTCTAAAAAAGTGCAATAATGAGATTTGGCTAAGGTTGCAATGTGGCTCTAATATCATTATGTGGGACAAGAATTTCAAAGTACTATTCTTTGTCCTATGGCAGACACTGGTCCATTTTGCTTTCTAATTTTGGTGCACCTTTTTGTTTTTGTTTTTTATTTTTTATTTTTTATTTTTTTCCTGCTTGATTGATTTGTTCAATGTTTCTAGTATTTACTTTCTATATGATTGTGAAAATCTTGATATTGGGTGCTTCTGCCAGTTGCTGTATGCGAAAGGGGATATATAAAGTGCATTGTTGATAAAATAAGTGATTCCTTATTCTCTATTAGTTGGCTTGATCCGTTGTATATGCTGTGTAACTTACATAGGGTAATTTGAAGTTGGGAAAATAAATTAGTTGTTTATCTTTGCTATAATGAAAATTTTCAAATGCTATTATTGTTATTTTTCTAATTTTCACTCGCTTTTATTTTATCCCTTTTATAACAATCTTTTATTCTTTAAAATTTATCATCTCTTAACCCACCTTAAGAACTATTATTTTGAAGAATTTCTTACTCTCGTATCTCTCTCCTCCTAAAAGTGAAAGTAACCATAAGTTTCGTATTTTCTATCGGAGTTGAGAACTCAAGAAGATGGAGTAATTACTCTGTTTTTAAATTGTTCATATTATTATAAAAAAACTAGGGCGCTTAACAACATCATGACCTTTATGATCATTAGTTGTTAATATCAATTTTATGTAATGGAGATTTACCTTTTATCTTTTTTGTTAGAGGTAAAGAGTGTGATTTCCTATGTGATTTTGCAAGAACATTCTTGGTCCAGTTTCCATGGTAATGCACTAATGCTTACTCGTTCTCAAGATCTCTCTCTCTTTCTAATAATTTATTAATAGAAAGGAATTAATCTTATTTCAAAATTAGATAGTATTTGTTTTTATATCACCTATTTTATGAGTCATTACAATAACTAACACACAATTAGCTTTAGATTTTTAGAAGGCACTGATAATATAACCTTAAGGTATGGATATTCTTGTATGACCCTTGTATTTGGAAGTTTGGATGAATTATCATATTGGATCATAGAGGCATATGGCTGGAGTCTGACAGATTGCAAAAAAATTATATCTTGATCACCCACTCTCCCCCTCATCTCCTTTTCTTGTGGATACTCCATTCTTATTGTCATTTTCTATATATTAAGCCTCTTTTATTATCATTTTCTGATAAAGGAAAGAAAATATCCCCTGTGCCCAACTACAATGTCAATAATTGCCATATAGGGATGTGCATAAGATGGAACATTAATTTTTGATGGTTATAAAAAAAGGCTTGGCATTGATATTTATCTTAATACTTTTCTTACCAAGCTAATATTAGTGATTATTGGAATTTGAAGATTGTTCAAAATAGTGTATTGACAGGCAAGTGCTTTGGTTTTTGCCTTTGTGGAGATGATCTGTGAACTATCTTTTCATTTCATCTCAGAGTCTTAATTTCGACACAACATGGGTTGGACTCTTCAATACCTAATACCCCCTTCGTCCCATAACATAGTTCCGTTTTCCTATTTTGAAGAACCAAAATGTTGTTCCTATTTCTATTTTTGGATAGTATGTAAAGACCATTATACCCTCTTTTTATTCATTTCCTAATTTACCCTTGAATTTTGCACATGCCTTTGTATTTTTTTTCCACTTTCTCTCCCTAACTTTAGTCTATGATTGTACTTTTCACTTTTATTAATGTACTTTATCTACTCTCTCCTTCTATTTCTTAAATACCGTGAAAAAACACAAACATGAACTATATTATGGGACGGAGGGAGTAAAGAATTTTCTCAATTTTCACACAAATCTTTTTAAAAAAGATCAACTATTATTTCTCTTCTCTCTTTGAATATGAATAATACCAAACTGGCTGACTGCTACCATCTCCTACAGTGCTAACTCAATGCCTCTAAATAGGCTTCTGCCAATGGAAGCAACGTATACATGGAGCTTTGTGCGTACAATTGGACCACTAGGGACCTTTTTTCTAACAAGAGCCTGTGATTTGATTGATAGTTATGAAAATTTTAATCATCTTCATTGTCATTTTCGTTGTTGTGTTAAATGTTCATGTGTTGATTCCGCTCTTAGTATTATGCAAGTATGTGATTGCAAGTGGTAGGAAGTTTCTACAAAGTTAGTCTATCTATAGTGAGGAATCAACACTTCCTTTTAAAAGGTACTCTTGGCCTAGTATTAGCAATCTCATTGTCCCAACCCTTTATGATTTAGAAACCACCATAATTTCCCCAAAACACCCTTTATAATAGTTTTCTTCTTTCTAAACTCTTTCATTGCATTTTAATTATGGCTATGTTTTCTTATAATCTGTTTTTGTTTTAAGGGAATGTGACACCTTTTACTGACAATTTTACAGAGTAGAGGTGACATTATTTTCGGACGGAGGGAATAATATGAAAATATATAATCAATGTCATAATTAGTCACGTTTAGTGGGTCCTGGCGGGATATTAAACATCGGCTTATCTGGTGCATCACAGCTGTTGGCCTAAAAAGTTAATTTAGGCTGGTGGTGATATGGTTTATTTATTTATTTTTATTCTGTAATAGTGCATGGCATCATGTTCAGTGACAGTCCAAGAGTTTTGGTAGATTCAAGTACTATTTAATTGGCCTTTCCTACGTGGATTAAGTGATGCTCTCTCTTCATGGTTGTCCTTAATGTACGTTTTACAACCAGGAGCTCCTGACTTGGTTTTTGATTCTATTTCTAATAATTAAGATGCTCTACAGCATCTAATTTGTTTATGTTCTTTGTTTTTGGTAGTTTCCTTGTAAGGTAAGTACCCTTTTCTTTGGTTAGTGTGCCTTTAAAATAATAGTTTGAGACACAAGTGACATTTGACTCTTTTGAAGGTATGTGAACTTTTGAAGCTAAGGGTATAAGCTGAACCTAAGCTAACACTTGGGTTTGATTATAATTATAGAACTATCTGATTTGGACACATGGTTTAGTGACTCTTTATTTCCATCCTCACGCTTGCTTTTCCAGTGATCTGTCTCTGACAACCTTTATGTTCACTGGTTCATGGTTGAGGCCAGAATGGTGTTCTACAAATGTAGCTATTACTTCACCTTCGTCATTTTTGAATTGTAAACCACTCTAATCCTTTGCTAAGTCCTTCCTTGTTTGCCTTGCTGTACTTATTCAAACATGTGTTCTGACACCTTAACTGACTTGGAAACTTGGAATTTGTCTTTGAAGCAAATGGAACTAATTGGAAAGTTAAACGAGTCCTTGTTGGAAAGTTTCAAGTTTCAACAAAGTCCAATGCTTCAACAAGTTTTTACTAATCAATCTTTTCATAGTGTTTTAATGTTCCGGTTTTTTTATTTTATTTTGTTTATTTTGTGGAAAATTCTGTTATTTGAAACCCTTATTCTTTTCCTTTTGCCTTATTGTTTACCTTAGCTTTTTGGCCCTTATTCAAACTTATCTATATATCAACCTATTGAACTTTTTATTTTTAATTATTTTGGTAGGAAAGTATTAATTCTCAAATGTGGCCGTCTTAGCCTTGTACGCCGCAGAAATATAATACCTCTGTGAGTCCTTGCTCGCTCATTCCCGTTTTTCTTAACTTATATTTATGTTTGTACAGTATCTCTATGCTTCATAGTTTGCTCTCAATAAAATTTGAAATTGAGTTGCAATAAAATATGAAGATGAATGGTTTAGTTAACATTTATGGTCTCATGCTAGTGCTTGTTACCTGTGAACATGTGATGGCCATGTCTTTTTGCACAATACACATTGATTAGAAGTTGAAATTGCAAGACTTCTGTATTTGAAGATCTGGCATGTCTTATAAGCAACTTATCTATATATGGTTTTTGATATGATTTAGAATAAATAGAGCTATGCTAATGCTCCCAATTAGGAAAACAACCCGTTTGATTGGTGGTAATAAATCAAGTTGATAAATGTCACTTTCTAACTTGTAAAAAAGTTACATGTCATTGTTAATGGTAATGCTAAAGCAAGTGTTTTTCTTTATAAATGATATTTTACCGCTTAATACCACCCTCTTCTTTACTGGTATATGATGGTAATGAAAATTACAGAAAAATAGATATTATTGTAAACATTAACGTGTGATTTTGCTTATGGAAACAGCTCCAAATTTTCTGAAGCATAAACTGCTACATCTACAGAGAAAGGGGGGGGGGAGGCATGATTCTACGAATGACTTGACACCTTCAAATGTTCAATGAAGGAAGACTTTCCAGAACACTTCCTGGAAATGTTGCTTCAAGATGCACAAAAGTTATTTGATAGAAAAAGTCCGTTTATTAAGTCAATCAAACCAGCTCTAAAAAGTCGATCCTTACTGCTAGCAGCGACAGCTTCATTGAAGGCTGTAGTTATCAGCTCATCTGAAAGTCTTAATAGAAAAGCTCGTGTTTTAATTACTTTGTCCTTTTATCCACATTAGGTGCATTATTTTCTGCCACATCACTACCGGGTATTTTATTCAGAGCTACATTATTTTTCATTTATTTTAATAAACCTTTTTTGTCCACATGCAATTGCGTAGTTTTTTTATGACTTGGTAAGTTCATTTTCCTATTTTCTTATTAATTAAAATATAATTATTTATATTTCATTTTTTTATATCCATTATCATGTTTTGTGTGTAAATGTATTTTACATAATTGTTTTGTTCACAAATAAGTGTCATTTTACTCTTTGACCTTTAAATACGCTTATTAATCAATTTAATTTTCATATATATAGAGTTTAATATGACGACTAAATGTCGAGAGATATTCTTTTGCCACTTTTTAATAGGTCTGTCATTTGAAAATATGTTAATCTGAATATCCTTTTTAAACAATTGGGTTGGACTTCTAGCTTTCAAACAAAAATAAGCAATGAGGGTAATGACTAATGAGTATGTCCATTTCCTTCAGTAAGAAATGATACTCCTGTTGCTGAGTGTGTATGCTTGTCCTTTAGTTAAGCTGCCATACCCAATGCCCTTGATATTATTATTTATTTGCATGGGACTTCTGACTTTTTAAAATTTCAGTACTTTAAGGAGATTAATGTATTTGTATCAGGCGTTTACTTTCTGTTTTTATTAATGTTTGGTATACAGGCGTTTACTTTCTGTTTTAATAATTTTTGGGATACAGGCGTTTACTTTGTTTATACATAAGCATTGTATATTATTAATTAAAATGTCAATGGTACCGTATGTCTTAGTTTACCTATTCAATAATTGTTGTATTATAGAATTATGCTTACAGGTGATGCTGCTACTTTGGTTCTAGGGCATTTGGCCAAATTTAGCTAATGAATAATTGGCACGTGGCACAACTAAGTCCTGTTTTTGATAGGTGGGAGCTTTACTTGCAAGAAGAAATTTGGTGCTGAATAGGAATACATTAGAAGACTGGGAATTATATGTCAATGCTGAGAGAGAGGTTAGAGGTAGCATCATTATGTTTATATTTAATTTTGCCATTATGAGGCTGCATTTTCTTGCTTGACCATTAAATTATTGCCTAATTGTGTCTGTTTTATGTAACAGTATACGGATGAATCCACTCTATCTTATTTTATTTATAAGTTTCACCTAATTTTTGGTACATGGAATGGGTTTGGGATCAAAGATACGTAGTCTTGACAAATTAGTCCAAAAATGTCCCATTGTCCCAATTTATACATTTTTGGTTGATCAGATCATAGTTTGATGGTGGGAATTAGTTCATTAGGGGATACTGTATTTGTTTTGATGCCTTGGCGGTTCTTAAATCGTGCTTGTTGTTTGTTTATGTATGTTGAATCTTAGGCACAGTTAGATTGGATTTTGAAGGTTGTATGAGAATAGTGTGTGAGGTGTGAGCAATTTGAGGATCTTACTGAGAGTCAACTAATCATCTTTGTTTGGTTATTGACAATCAATAGTTCTGAAACCTTGTTCAAGTATAAAAACTATCATTAACACTTAAAGTGAGCAAGAATGCTATCATTTGGTCTGGCTCTAGTGTTAATTCAACATTCATTTCTGTAAGTTGCCTTATTTTGTGCAACTTGATGTGTTGCTCGACGCTCAACTCAAAATGTGACTTTATGTTAGAGACATTCAAGGTTTTAGATCTTCTAACTATTGAAACTATTGCAACTTGATGTCTTGTATAAACATTTATCCTTGCACTAAACACCATGGTTGATCAGAATGGAGGTAAGTTAGGTGTTCCTCTTGCCTAGTTAGAACTTATAGTTAAGCCCCCTGCCCTAACCACCACCAAATATCTGTGAAGACATGTGAACTCTTATGATATACTCGAAGTCAGGTCTTATTTTTAGGACACCAAACAGAGATTTTGTGCGTATCAGAGCTATGGTGTTTGAGATAAAAGCCTCTAATTTGGGCAAAATCTGTGTTGACAACACTTAGTTTGCACTGTCAACACCAATTATCTAGACTTCGCCACACTCTCTGATTGCCAAAATTTCTGACTATGTCACATGCCCTTAAAGTTTTCTTTCTCTCTCCTTTCCTCGCAGCTCAAAATGCATTGTAATTTTTTTGGTTGATGTCTACTTTTACTGTTCTTTGAGAAGAGAAGAGGGGTGGGGGGTAAACATTACGTGATGTTAATGCTATTGAGGGGAGAATTTGTCGGAAAATCAGGCCTTGCTCTCAATCTCCTCTATTACCAAGATTAGATCAACATAAAATTTTGGTTTTTGAGGATTCTTAAATGTAACCTGAATATCTGTCTGATTTGACTTCATATTATTCTCTCCAGTTTTATTAGAAAAATATGGGATAGATCCATTCACCTTTTTATCTAGCTAGTCCCTATGAAAGTTGTGCATTCTTTATGTTTAAGATAAATACCTATATGAACACAAAAATAAATAAAATTCAGCCTGTTTTTAAGGGGAGCTATACTTTGGCATGTTTGTTCCTCCTATGGCTATGGGGACCTTTGCAGCTTGATGGGTTGCACCACTCAACTGTGACAATGTGCTCTTAACTGGTTTTATGACGTAGGAAAACTCATTCCTTAATCATCATATTTTTTAGCTAATTATATTTGTTTCTATTTCTCAATTCTCCTTTACAGTCTAAGGACATATTACTTTGAGACTATGACTGAATTTTAGCACTGTGTTATATATTCCTTTTGAGGTATTGCACAAGCTTTGGATCCTTTCTTATAGATACCTTTGATATGCTTCTACCCATTAATTTTCCCTTTATGTGGTGTTTATACAGTTAGCTTAGTTGATTCCATGGTTCTACTGGCAAATATACTGTATGTTAGCTAGTATCTGTCTCCCATATGTTCTAACTACATAAGGAGCTTGTAGGATGAGATGATTTGAGTCATTGTGTGCTGCAGCCATGTTGTGTTTTGATGGGTAGACAGTTGATTGTGAGAGCTTCGGTTGAGCTAGTTTTAAAGTATTAGGAACAGAACCTTATGAATCATATGAATCCTGGTTCAAAGCCCAGCACTGCTTACAATAAAATCTAGAATCTTCAAGATTTTGAATCTATGTTCTGTTCCTGTGCCATTTACACATATTTCCATGATCATATTTGTCATCTAGTGGCAGAGCCTCTTGTAACGCTTTGACCGTTGTATATTATGAAAGCTTCAGCATTACTGCAATCAGTAGATTACTCTTTCTTAAAATATCAAGTATTTATGTTAAAAACAGGCTTGGGCCGCACCTGTCACCAAGAGAGAGAGAAAGAGTCCACTTTACATGTCCTAGGAGGTTCCATCTCAAAACCATATTGCAATAGGAGTAGCAGCCCCTTAGCTCTATAAAGTGTTTATAGATGTAGATTGAGGAGTGTCGGACACTTACATGTGTTGTTTGGAAAGGCTACAATTCAGTAAATCATGCTCCCCAACTTTGGAATACCTATAGTACTATGCAATTTTTATTTCCATTGTGTAGATGATGAAAATCAGTCTTCGGTTACTTTATATTACCCTGTGACTTTCTTGTTTTGTGGCTTAAATGATTGTGTACTGCTAGTTTCTTTCAGTACTAGTTTTGTTCAGTTAGCATTTGTTCCTGTTTTATACATCAACATTACCTCAATATGCTTATAGAGAGGCTCTGGTCTATGGCAGGGACCCTGTGATGAGTGAGAGACTCCTTTAATTGATCTCATGTAGGTAGCTTATCCTGCCACAGGGTAGATGGGTCAGGCGTACGCTATGATAAGTGAGCGACTCCTTTAGTTGATCTTTAACTTAAGATGTAGATTACGTCTGCAACTTTTTTTTTTTTTTTTTTTGAAAACAGATTACGTCTGCAACTTTGCAGTAAGAAAGAAGTGCCAACTCTTTAACTCATTTTTGCTTAGTCCAATATAATCTGAAGCCAAGCAATATTGGATGAGAGTTCTAGAAATTAGTTAGTACGTTCAGAACTGTAAATTCTTTAATAAATCGATTGCTAGAACTCTCGTCCAATTTTTAAGTAATTGTATCCATACATTTTAGGCATTGGCCATAATTGTTGTTATAAATGTTGATGATCAACCATGCAATTCATTTCTATCTTCGGCATTCTGCAGGTAGTGGCATATATTGCAGTGGACAAACTGTGAAGTTCACAAGCTAATGACATTAAGGTATGTTTTGCAATGACGAATTGAAATAAAATTTATTTTTGTAGGCAGTTGCAGAAACATGGAGATGAACAGAGGAGAAAACTTTTAAACTTAAATTTGAAGAATTGCCTTAAGAAAGCTGTTCACTGGACTAATGTGATAACTTCATTTACATAAATACATAATTATACAGGCAACTTACAATGCTATGTGGTATCTTTTCAAAGTAGTCTTCTTCTGTGTATACGATCCATCGTAAATCAATTTGGTGCTGCCAAAAGCGGATCAATTGGTTCACTATCTTTACCTGATAATAATGATCGTATTATCCAGTAAAAGATGCCTGCAGCAAAGAAACTGAAGAACCAAGCATTGTTGTATATTGTGATGAATAAATTTGGGACTGAACTCAGAATTCCGAGTTTTTGCAACAAACCAGGCATCACTGGCACAATTCCTACAGTCAAAGCCATCATTGCTGCCAAATTATAACCCCCTGTATAATAGTAGGATCCTTCCTTTTTTAATGTATATAAATCATTAATATTAAGCTTCATTTTCTGAATGATATAGTAATCTGCCAAAATTATTCCCCCTATTGGCCCCATTAGTGCCGAGTAACCTACAAGCCAGGTATATACAAAACTTTCACTTGATTTTAGTAATCTCCATGGTTGAAAGGCAATGCCTAGCAATGCTGTTAATAGAGCTCCTTTCCAAAATGTAAACTTTGATGGGCTGAGATTAACCAGTGCATTTGCAGGGGCAACTACATTAGCAGCAATATTGGTGGTGATGGTGGCGAGGCTGATTCCGACAATTGCCAAAATAATTGTGGTGAATCCCCCAATCTCTCCGAGGAGCTGGATGGGGTTTGAGATCACACGGCCGAAGATCACTTTGGTTGAAGAGGTCACGGCTAGCCCAACAAATGTGAAAGCACCCATGAAGATAGGCAAGCCAGCTTGACCTATGATCTGATCCTTTTGGGATTTGGCATACCTTGTAAAATCAGGGATGTTGAGTGCTAGAGTTGCCCAGAAGCTAATGTTTGCCGTAAGAGAAGGGAAAAAGAGTGCCCAGAACTGGGAACTCGAAAGATTGGAAGTTAGAGTCAGCATGTGGCCAAATCCACCAGCATTAACATATGCCCAGATCAGTAGGCAGGATGTTAAAACAATCAAGATTGGAGCTGAATATTTTTCGAGCACTCGAATGCCTTCCATTCCTTTCCAAACTATAGACAATTGAGCCAACCAAAATACCATGAAACAAGAGAATTCGAGTGGAGAAGTTCCTAACCAAGGTAAAACATTTGCCAAGGAAGAGTGCTTAATTGAATGTGGCAATAACAGGAAAATTGCCTGTCCACCAATCCATGTCTCAATACCATACCATCCACACCCAACTAATGCTCGTAGCAGTGCCGGGATATGGGCACCTCTGATTCCAAACGACGATCTTGCTAACACCGGGAATGAGATACCATACCGTGCCCCGGGCTCCCCGGTGAGTATTAGTGGGACAAGCAATACAAGGTTAGCCGCCATCACGGTGGCTATCCCTTGCCACCATGCCATCCCAAGGTCAGCAAGACTACCAGCAAGGTAATATGCTGGTACACCAACAACCAACCCAATCCAAAGACTGGCCATTTCCCACCCAGAAAAAGTCCGTTGACTTAGAGTTGTTGGCTTAAGATCATCATTGATAAGTGCAGGATCAGCCTCATTTTCATCTAAATGAGTACTTCGTATCGGTTCGATCGATGCCATTGGACGAATTGAGGAAGCCGAACATCCTCCGTAGAAGGTGCTTAAGGAGCTCTTCTTATGGATGGTCAATCTTGTAGTTAAGATAGACGGGATGATGCAGGATTTTGTGGGTTTTGTAGTGTAGGGATGGTATTGCAGGCTGAGATACTTGGACATCATAGTGTGATGATTCAGCCAAAACAAAAAAAAGGGGTTTGAAAAGTGTGTGATTGAGTTTAATGGTGGGCTTGTTTGAATCTTGGGATAAGACTGAAAATGGTTAGTTTTGTATGTATTATCACATTCATGTATTTGGAAGCTACTAAGGTTGATTAATGATTAAGATTGCCTATTCTTAATTTGTTAGTGGTTAACTGGCAAATGATTCTTCAACCAGTGGCATCTGTAAGCTAGAATAGAATCTTAGGGGCTGATTGGAAACGAAACGTTAGGGGCTGATTGGAAACGAAACGTGTTGAGTGAGCCTATTGAAAAGTTTTACATACAACCGGTGTGCAGTAAAATACTGAACAACCGGTTTTTCGCACGTGTGAACAGTAATTTTTTTTTTCCTTTTTCCAAAATAACTAACATCTTCTTCAGCAAGCTACAATGGAGGAGAGAGAAAACTCCAATTTTCCAGATTCAAAGCTCCTTCACCAAGCAACCATGGAGGAGAGAGAAATCTACAATTTTCGATCAACAATGCCGGAAACCTCCAAAGCTTCCAATTACGAAAACCTAATGCGCGAATTTCTGCAATTACAAAGAGAAAATCGACCACCATTAACGCAACATCCAGAGAAAACATGGAGTTTCGACCTCAATCAAACATTCAGAGAAGGTGAAGCAGAGAATTTCGTTGATGATTTCGATGAATTTAATGATGATAACATTCAAAACTCAAAAGTTCCAGAAATTCAGATACAAGGTAATAATTTAAAAAAATACTAACCTATTGTTTGTTTTTGCTTAAAATTTTGATTTAATTTTCAATAATTAATGCAGATATTGAAAATAAAGGTGTTTCAAATACATTAGAAGATGAAGATCAAGTTATTCCGAACACACTAGATGAAGAAGGACAACCAGTAGATGAAGACGAAGGTAAAATTCTATAAATGTGACATATATTAAGGCAAAAGTTACATATATTATGGCAAAAGTTACATTGACTATATGTTTATTTATAAAAGCATTTATGCATGTCTCTTGGTACAAAAGTTACTAATATCATTACAAATGTTACCTTTATTAATACAGAAGTTACTTGTATTATATACCTATGTACTAAATAACTTATTCTTTATGCATATGCTTAAGTGAATAACCCTATGCTCCCATGTTCTCATGCCTCTAGGTACTTGCTTGTGATTTTGTTCATGCTGTAATTGTGATTTTGGTTACAATTGTTACAAGAAAATGCTAAATATCTCTTATTCTACTAATGCACAGATACAAATCCAAAACCAATAGATACCACTGGTTTAGATTTGGAAGGATCATTAGTTGGAGTGGAAAGACACTTATCAAGAAATTTATGACTTGTACAGTCTACATGCTTCTACAGTGGGATTTTCAATAAGAAAGCATACAACAAGGTATCGCTTACACACACGTATAGTCACAGAGAAGTACTATGTGTGTTCTGCGGAAGGAAAAAGACATACTGCTGCAAAGAAGACAAATATGGTTCTAATGGTTGATGAAGATAACAAGGATTTAGAACAAAGAAAACCACGACAAGTCTCCATTACAAGAAATAACTGCAAGGCAAGCCTAAGAGCAAAAATGAATGATGATGGAAAATTTAAGGTGGTGTCACATGTGTTACAGCATAATCATGAACTAACTAGAAAGCAGTGGCATTATTTGCATCGATCTGAGAGAGAAGTAACAATAGAAAAGGCAGAAGTAATTAAAACAATGAAATCTGCTGGACTTTCAACAATGGACACATATAATTACATGTGTACAGAAGCTAATGGAGAAGAAAACTTGGGGCATAGTGTTGTAGATCACCTCAATTTCTGCTCAAGACTAAGAATGGAACAAATAGAGGCTGGAGATGCTCAGACATTAGTGAATATTCTGATCGAAGAACAAAAAGAAGATCCTAACTTCTATTTTAGAGTGAAATTCGACAAAGAAGGTAGAATTTCCAACATTTTTTGGAGAGATGCAATGATGTTAGAGGATTACAAAATATACGGAGATGTTCTTGTATTTGATACAACATACAGAACAAATCGGTATAACCTTATATGTGCTCCTTTTGTTGGAATAGATAACCATTGGAAAAATTGTATGTTTGCATGTGCTTTCATAGGCAATGAAAAAACAGAGTCGTTTGTGTGGTTGCTTGAAACCTTTAAAAAATCTATGGAGAATAGAATTCCAACCTCCATATTCACTGACCCAAGACCAAGCTATGGCTACTGCAATTGAGCGGGTACTTCTTTTTCTATTACAATATCATATTCACTGATTCCACTCTCATTTTAAGTCATTTTTGTGTTCATAACTTTTATGAATATAAGTATCACTTTTGTGAGTATAAATGTTACTTTTGTGAGTAAAAATATCGATGTTGTGAGAATAAGTGTTCAAGTTTAGTGACATATCACATTCTGAATGCAGGTATTGCCAGACACAAGGCATAGGCTATGCATATGGCACTTAGAACAAAATGCAATAACACGATTTGGAGCCCTTAAAAGGGATAATGAGTTCAAAAAAATATTCAACAAATGCTTGAAGGGATGTGTGACAGAAACAGAATTTGAAGAAAGATGGAAAGAAATGATACAAAAATTTGATTTGGTTAATCATGCATGGTACCAAAGGGTGTACAATCTAAAGGAAAAGGTGTCCAGCATTTAGTAAAGATTTCTTCTCGGCAGGAATTCTTTCATCACAAAGAAGTGAAAGTACGAACCATGCAGTAGGATTCAGAGCTAATAAATCAACAACACTGACAGAATTCTATAGAATCCTTGTAAGAACCATAAAAAGATGGAGAAGTGATGAGAAGTATAATGAGTTTACCTGTAGCAAATCAATAGCCTTTACTTCATTGCCACTATCCGGAATGCTAAAGCATGCTGCTCAGGTAATTCTATATTCCTTTATTACATATATCTAAGAACTGAAAACAAACAATATAAGCAAATATAAAAATGATACATGCAAAGGAACATGACTGGTAGTAAGTTATTTCTCTAATGTACAGGTTTACACATTGTCTCTATTTAGAGACTTTGAAGAGGAATTTGGCTACTCAATGGCGACCACAGTACAAATTCTAGGGAGAATTGAAGAAAACATTATTCTTTATGAAGTATCGCTAGAAGAAAAGCCATGGTCTTCCCAACAGGTAAGTTACATACATGAGAGCCAAGCTATATGGTGCACTTGCAAGAATTTCGAAGCTTCTGGTTGGCTATGCTATCACTGCCTAATAATTTTACATCTACATTCTATTACAAGAATTCCAGAGAAGTACATTAGCAAAAGATGGACAAAGCTTGCAAAAACTGAAGTATGGAATATAATGGAAAATAAGGATCCAAAACTCCCATATACACCATGGAGACATACAATGATGAGAAAATATTATAAATTAATCTTAAAGAGTCAAGAAAATGAAAAGGCAAGAGCATTCATGGAGGAAAACTTCAAAAATTGTATGAAAATGGTGGAAGAATTACTTGCGGCCGAAGCTTTTACAGAGGAGGTTGCTGCAAGTGATGACAATTCTAATGTGGCAGAGTGCTCAGAGTACCAATAATACTGCTTCTTCATCAACAAGTACAACCATACCCACTATATTAGACCCTAAGAGAGCTGTAACAAAGGGAAGAAGCAAGAGAGCAAAAGGAGCACTTGAAAAAGGGAAGAAATCAAAGCAAAAAGCATTACCAGATCCAAATTCAGAGTTTGGATCGAAGACACCTACTGTACGAATTTTTTGAACTTGTAGTGAGTTTGGATGAAACACAATTGAATACTTTTTTGTAGTGATTTTATTTTTGTTTAATGCTACTATTGACTTTCATACAGAATTTTGAATTGTGATATGGAATTGCTCATGAATTATGAACATTTATATAATATTACAGTGATACTTAAAAAAGTAATGCATATACTGGCAAAAGTGATGCATATACTAGAAAAAGTGATGAATTTACTAACAAAAGTGACACTAACACTTACAAAAGTGATGCATTTACAGAAAAGTAACACTAATACTTGCAAAAGTAACAATAATGCTCACAAAAGTGATGCATCTTCTCACAAAAGTGTAACTTTTTACTCACAAAAGTATTGCATATTCACAAAAGAAATATGTCACTCACAAAAGTGATATTTATATTCACAAAAGTGACAATAATTATCACAAAAGTGTCCGTTTTTAAAATTAATAACATGGTAATATATATGTTAAACTTCAAGTTTTCATTTAAATCAACTATATCTCTGTATGATGATATATGATACACTTATAAAATTATAACCAGAAATAAAAATAAATAATAAGAACAACAGATTACAAATATTTAATCATATATATATATATATATATATAAATATAAAATAAAATTTGTACAAACATTTTGAAAATATTAACACTAGTTTAAGTGTCGATATTTATCACTAGTTTCAACTTCCAAAAGTACTTAACTAATTACAACTTCCAAAAGTACTTAACTAATAACAACTTCCAAAATTAGCTAAGATTTAGAAGGAGTGTACTTCCGTGTAGCCTTTGTAGTTCGTTTTGATTTCGGAGCAGTGTCAACAGTAGGAGGAGCAGTTTCAGATTTCTTCTTTTTCTTCTCCGCTGCTGCAGCCTTCCTCCTTCCTTCAATTTCAGCAACATATGCAAGATCGCTCTTCTTCTCATTAAATTTTTCAACTTCTGCTAAGACATCAGATCTTGATTCGTTCATGTCAGACAACACGAGTTTTGCACAAATCTTAGCACGTCAAAATTTCCTCCTAGCAGCCTCACAACAAGAAAATAAAAAGGCGCATTAATATGTATAAAACATTAGAATAAACATAACAAATGAATTAATTCGAATCAGTTTCAAGATCACTCACTGTTCTAAGTTCATCTACAGAAAACGATGTATCACCAACAAAATGCTCCATATGACACATCATATACACACCACAATCATTATTATCAACCTTACTCTTCCGCCACACTAAATCAGCAATTTTAAACTTGTAAAAAGGGACTTTTTCACTCTTTGGATGATTTCTTCGTGCAAGAAAATCACCAAATTCAGAACACTGAAAAAAAACAGAATATTAAAAACAACAAAAAAATAAGATTAATATAGAAACATACTTTAAAATAGACAATAACATACCAGATAAAAAGTCAAATTTTGAAAATATGTAATCATGTCATGACTCCAAATGATATTATCAACATAACCAATTCATTGCCATGATCAATCACAAACATCACATAATGTTCATCAACAAGAATAGGAAAATAAACCTGAAAAAAAATAGAACAAAAGTTAGCATAAAGCACATCCATCACACAGTTAATATATATTAAAAATTAAGATATATACCAAGTCTGCACCAATAACATCACAACAAGAATTTTCATATGTAACCCATTCATCCCAAATTTCATGCAAATCCGAGACAACAGAACTAGCAGAACTATCTTCGTTCCCCTCTGATACTTGCAAAAAAGCAAACTAAAAGGAAAAAATAAATAATTGAAAAGAGTAAGAAAACAAATAACTCAAAACAGAAAGTTGCTTACACTTTGCCTCGCACCAAAAAAGAATATTTTAGGACCACAAGTATCATAAAAACATGATTCATTTAGATAAATGCAGTAGCAATCAACTACTGACCAACGAACCAAATTAGGATGCACCAAAGACACCATATCCTCTCTTGGAATGAGAAAATGCAATCCATAAGTAACAAGATTCTCACTGCAAGGTCAAACAATATTATTAATATCAAAACAAAAAGAAAAAGAAAAAAAAAGGTTTCAAAAAATATGACAATTAAAAAAGAACTTACTTATTATTAAATAAGTGTTCCACCAGACAATAATCAAGAGCTTCTAAATATAATCGAGGTAATTTTTCACTAAAAGCACGAGAATTACTTTTCATAAATGGCGTAACAAACACTACACTCTGACCACCAATTTCACCACAGTCCAAAGAACACAAACTTTTATTCGTTCTTCTGACTGAACCACCTCTGCCACCACCATCTCCACCACCACCATCTCCACCACCTCCACCATCTCCACCATCTTGTAGGGTAGACTTTGATGAAGTACTTGCATCAACTTTAAGTAACTCATCCACTGACTTCATTTTTATAAACTCATCAATTAAGCCATCAATAAGCTTATGATAATGCAGGTTAGATAAAAGTTGTTGTGTTTGAGACAACTCAATAGAATCAGCATCCAAAGAAACAGAATGTTCAACAAAACGACTATGCACCAACCGTTGCAAAGAACTAAAACAATTGGAATTCACAGATGAAAACAGCTCCTTGTTCCTTTTCATATAAAGAAACGCTTCATGCAAATCCTACACATTAACAAACAATTATATGAGACCAAGAACAAATGTTTTATTAAAGAAAAAAAAACATACATCAGTTGCAACACTTTTGATCTCAGAATCAGTTAATACTCCTTCAGGCAAATCGAAAGTCACACATCTTCTATCATCATCAATAGGAACCGCACAACCTTCACCCTTACTTAAGTTGTTAACATTCAAATCAACACACTTAGCAGAAACTGGATAAGTCAATTCATTCAAAACCCCCTGACCAAATCCACCAGCCTTCAACTCTAAGGACACCCTGTTCCTCACTTTTTTATCTGTCCAGTGTTGAATAAGAGGAATAGTGGAGTTCTCTACTACACCTTGGAAATTCAAACGATGAAAATACATAATCTTAAGCAACAACAAACATCCACTAATACTATCTTTAGCCTCAGAATTTTTGTAACTAACAACAGAATTCATCAACTTTCTCAAAACAAATGAACACCAATCAAGATTTTTAATCTGATCAACATCATCCACAGCATTAACTAACCTAAAATTAACAGTCCTATTAGCGGTAGGAACAAGCATACTACTAAGAGCATGCATAACAAATAACCTCTTAAATTCATCACCTCCATCCACCAACTCCTTGATCCTAGTTTCTAATCTAGCCAAAGGTATCAACTCCTTAACACAAACATCAAAGAAGCTCTCCATTTATTTTTCAATGCACTATCATCTTGAGATTGACCTTTGTAACTACCCTTCATTTCAGGAACCTCACGACCTTCTACCTTAGGCAAACCAAAACATCACACACATCATGCTTAGTCACAACAAACTCCTTACCATCAGCTACACAAAACATACAAGTATATCCATTAAAACTCTCAACAAGCCAAGGAAGTATACCTCCAACCATACTCTCCACACGTAAAGACAACAAACCACCAAATCCAACCTCTTCTACATCTTTTTTTTGAGTCGGAGAAAGCCCACTTATAACCTTAACTAATGAAGAAGGTCTACAACGACATGTAATTTTCCTATCAGGCCTGAAAAAACAAAAAAAAGATGCTTACCATTCAAAAATGATAATAACATACTTATATACTGAAATTTTAGTTATCATATAAAATTAAACATGAATTATGAACATTTATACAAATTTTTATACTTATTCTCACAAAAGTGACAATCATAATCACAAAAAATGATACTCACGAGAGTCATGACACTCATTACATGGATATAATATTCAAAAAAGTGATTACTATCAAAATTTTCACAAAATGATACTTGCACTCACAAAAGTGACATTGATAAATACAAAAGTGAAAGATATACTCACAAAAGTAACACTTAATATATTGACACAAAAATCACATAAAAACAGTCCTATTAATCAAAGTTACCTATACTCTTACAAAAGTCACAATTCCATTCACAAAAGTATAGCAAATATACAATATTCTAAAACATAAAATCTTACTCGTCATCCTCTTTTTCTTGCCTCTTCCTTTTATTTCCCTTGGATGTACTTCCTTCACCTTTCAACATCTTTTTTCTTCCTGCATCCATTTTATTTACCGCTTTTTGAGCTCTACTATAACGAAAACCTTTGATAGATCCTACTAATTAATTTTAAAAAAAAAAATCACAATAGAAATTTTGACAAAATTTGACAAGATTGTACCAAGCAACACAAAATGATAAACATATCCACCATGTTTGCCACACTAAAATCAAATGCAGCATTTAATTTATATATATTAAACTGTAAACGAAAATAGTAGAAAAATACCTAAAATTCATACACAAAATGCTTTCATCAATTTGATTGTACTACTATGAACATGCAATTTTTCATTTGGACATTTTTACAAACACCTAACAGGCAATTCTCAAAATAAACCTAATCTAAGCAAAAGCAACTGATTAAAACGCACAACTAAACAAACATAGCACAAATTGTACAAAAAAAAAATTGCGAAAATGAGAACAAACACTAACCTAGAGCAACATTATCATCACCAGAAACCTTCTTCTTCACCATTGCAAAAACTACAAAAATCCAAAACAACGAAACCCTAAAAATCGAAACACTTCAAAATTGAATAAAATGAAATAAAATTGAGAAAACAAACCTGAAATTAGCAACAATCAACTTCAAAGTGAAGAAATTTAAGATCGAAAAGAGAGAAATTCAAGTAGCAACGCCAAAAGCAAGAGAAGAAGAGAACGAGAGGAGAGAGAAAAAAAAACCAGAGAAAGAGAAACAGGAAAGAGAAGAAGAAAAAGAAAATAAGAAATTTTTTGGTTCTTTAAATTTACACGTGTGAGCCCAAATTGAGCAGCCCAATTTGCACTTGTTTGCTGTGATTTTCAGTAAGTTAGTGAAAACCCGCTTTTATTAAAAGTTTTTCTTGAAAAAATTAAAAAAAACTTGTGTTGGTTTTACCCACCCTAAAGCATGATATGGCCCACAAGTAGTATTGTTGTTGTTGTGTTGATGTGGTTTCGGGTCAAGTTTGGAGGTTTCGGGTTAGAAAGGGTTGGGCTCATACGGTTCATTTTGCAAGTAAACTGGTTTTGAAAGTTAGCAGCTAATCTATTTGGTTTGGCTATATTTTGCATGTTCAAATTGAGTCAGGTTATAATCAGTATGGGTTGTAATTAGGTTGAGTTATCTAGTTTTTGTTTAAATGGGTTTAGTTGAGTTAAAACAGATTTATATGGGATTGAGTCAAGTCAGAACTAGGATGAGTCATATAGTTTTGATTGAAACGGGTCAAATTAGAATCGGTTCAAGTTCAAGTAAGGTTATAGGATTATACCTTAAATGATTTTGGTTAAATTCTAGCGATAGCGATGCTAATGAGCCAAATTCTGTACAACTACCTCTAAATAAGTGACGGTGGGAAAATTAGGTCGTTGATTAATCTCCTAGCACTGAAACAAATTTATAGTTCCTAAATTAACCCCTAAACAAGTCTAGTGGTAAGTTTAGAGTAGAACGATAGGGAATGGTAATGCTAGATAGGTCTTGATATTATGCTTAAACTAGGTTGTAGTTGATACATGAATAGAGGACACTACAATTGCACTAACACACAAATATAGAACAACGTAGTATAAAGACTATTAGGGACAAAGATCCACTTTAAACAACTAATAAGCTAATGATATTACATTTGAGGCAAATTTGTAAAAAAAAAAAACTTTTTAAAAACACCATTTTGCGAAAAAAACCTTTTAAAAGCTTTTGGTTAAAAAAAACCACCGCATTTAATTTTTTTTGCCAGAGGAAACCTATTCCCCTAATTATCCTCTATTTAACTTAATTAAACTCTAAATTCTTCTAATTAACCTCTAACCCACCAAATTACTAAATTATTAGATTATATATATATATATATATATATATATATATATATATATATATATATATATATATATATATATATATATATATGTCACCACTCCCTCCCCTTCCTCCTCCGCCCTCCTCCCATGGAATCAACCCTCCCCCATCGGACCCACTGTTCGGATCCCCTTACCTCCGACAACCTCCTCCACCGCCAGACGACCCTCCCTTTCCTCCTAATCACATCACAACAACCATCTCCTTGATTTTGAAAAACCCTAGAAAATTGATTTGGGGGTTTTTAATTTTGTGCATCTTTCTTCCAATTGATGCTTGTTTTTGCTTTGATTATGTATGTTGTGATGCTAGGGTGATTTAGAAACAAATTGGAATTGATTTGGATTTGATTTGAGCATGTTTGAGTATATAAGATCCAAAAATTCGAAAGGGAGGTGGTGGACGCCAACGGGGATAAGGGGGAAAGGGATGGTCCACCGGCAATGGAGGTAGATTGCCGGAGGTGGGGGGATATGGGCGGTGGGTTGGTGGGTGAGGGGGTTGCTTCAAAGGGAGGTGAAAAGGGAGGAAGAAGGGGAAGGGTGGTTGGTTGGTGGTTGGGGTGGTGGATTTTTTTAGATATAAATTAAATATAATTATTAAGTAATTAGGTGTGTTAGTGGTTAGTTAGAAGAAATGGGAGGAATTTAGAGTTTAATTAAGTTAATTAGAGGTTTATTAGGGGAATAGGTTTCCTCTCGTAAAAAAATGAATGTGGTTGTTTTTTTTAACCAAAAAGCTTTTAAAATGTTTTTTTTCGCAAAATGGTGCTTTTAAAAGGGTTTTTTTTTTTTTTTTTTTTTTTAAATTTTTTATTTAATTTTTTTTTTTTGACAAATTTGCCTACATGTGATAACCAATCATGCAAACAATGAATTAAAATGAGAATTAATTACGCTCAAGATCTATCTCTCAAATTCCTAGCCTAGTTTCCTCTATAATTAGGTGCATAAAAGAAACTAAACCAAAATGCAACCAAATATATCAATTTAAATTTAGGAAAATTTGACTTTTAATACCACTAAAGCCTCACTTTGATTTTTACTAGCCATCTAAATTTTAATTTTATTTTACTACCACCAAACAAACAAACACACACACACACACACAAAGGATTTTGCTACTACTTAACGTTTTTTGTTAGTGGCGAGTCTTTAAAAAAATCCTCGTTTTTCGTGTCGAAAAATGTTTCATTAGGGTTTAGGGGGTTATTTTAGCTCTTAAAAATCCAAATTGAGCTCAGAATTGCAAAAAAGATAACGTAAGTTGTAACACCCTAGAAATTTCTTTCCTTTAAAATACGTTTTTTGCTGTTTTTAAAACTCAAAATAGAAAAATCTAAGACATTACCGCCACCGTGAAAACGGATAAGGCAACTATCAATGACACATAGCGGAAGACTATCTTTAAGAACATTCAAAACAATTCAACTTTAAAAGTCAACCAAACGAAAGTAAAGTCAACCTACAACTTGGAACCATTGTAGGCCCTTATTAAAATCAAACCAACTTAAAAAACTTTGCGTTAGTCTCACAAGCATAATATAATAAAATAATCAAAGCAATAAACCACATCATAAACTTTTGGAAACTAAGAATGATTCGCTCTTCACTCATGTCAATCATAAATATAATTCATCACCTGAAAAACTCTTCTCTACTTGTCCCCACTACTCTCCATTAGAATTGGGTCAACGTAGGGCCAAAGTAAAGACAAGGCCAAACAAACATACAAACACCCAACCAGCAATGCTGAGTACATAAGCGTAAATAAAACACACTAACATGCTTTCTCACTAGAAAGTGAGTTTTTCCTAGTTGTGCTAGGGTTCTTCTAGCTTCAAGCTTGTTCTTGCTGCATGCATGCAATCCTGATTTTATCAATGTTATAGATTAGGTGGATAAGATTTATTTAGCTCCAGCTATATAGGAGATTCTTGCAATCTCTTTGCTGCTATAGTGGTTTTCCAGCATTTCCATTGTTCAAAAAATTTCCTTGGTATAACAAAAACTTCTCGGCTCCCAATTAAAGTGTGTAACCTTTCCTAAGCTAATTCATCTTCCAAGAAATTTGTGCGCCACCTTGATGATTCATGCAACCAATATCCTCAAGGCATTTATTGCTCTAACCTTATATTGGTGTAGTTATGAATAGCTAGAGGCGGCTAGCTATTAATTAGTGTTTTTTTTAACCAAATACCTGTTCCCACGCTTCATACTCTTCTTCTCCCAAGAACTTTCTGTTTGGATATAAATGAGAATGAAGATGCAACAAGTTTAACTCAACTCTTCATTCTTTCCTTCTGTCTTTTTCCTCTCTTCTACTCAGTCTCTTTCTCTCTTCTTGTTCGAATGCAGCAGAGTTGAAGATCAACAAGCTCTTGTTCGTGTAACCACAACAATCATTGATGGGAGAATTATCAATTTCAGGCAATATCAAATTGATTATGTTCCACACCAAATGAGTTTCACCCTAACTAGGCTATGGGTTAGGGTTTATGGGCTACCATTAGCCTATCTTACTCAAGGGTGGGCTAGACAAATTTTTAGGCATGTTGGCTACATTGAAGAATTAGATCTCGAAGGTGAAGGCTTACCAATCCATGCCGAACTTAGGGCACGAGTTCTTGTGGATCTGTCGATCCCTCTCATTTCGGGGTGCTTCATACCCTTGGAAGGAAATAGGTTCATATGGGTTTATCTGAGGTACGAGGGAATCTTTAGGTTTTGCAAGTCGTGCGGCTGTGCTGGACATGCTACCTCAAAGTGCCCCTACACCCCGTCATAGCACGAAGATGAGCTAGGCGTAGGCTTGATGAGGTGGAAGCCGACGGCATTAGGGTGCTCTATGGGCCAAGGAGAGTACCCGTACTACTCTAACTTCATAATGGGTTTACCGGATTGGTATAGGTTCCGCAACACAGGAGTGGATTTGAGGCACCACAACCACCCCAAAGACAATCCAATATTTTAAAGGGTTCCAAGAGAGGAGGGAGCTTTCGAAACTGACCACCCTTTTAATGGTCACTCGTCCTCGCCGGAAAGTAATGAGAGTGAACGGTTTCACTCAGGGAAGAAGGACTTCTCACCTGATGAATCGGAGCTAATCAAGCTCGATGAAATTGAATCGGTGCAACCGGATCTTGCGCTTTCTCCTAGGAAAAGACTAGGGTTAGGTAACGACCCTTATGCGGAATTTATTGTTTCAAGGAAACAAAACCCTAGTAAGGGGACTTCTTCAAATACTGTTCGAAGGCAACTCTTTAATGAAGACAGTGAGAGTGCTCAAAGGCTGAACTTGGGGTCGAGTAACCCTTCTCGGGCTATAGGTGGTTGGCTGCCACTGTGCCCTATCCACGACCCACCTCCCCCACCAAGGCCCAATTTTGTGGGCTCAACATATGAGGTGGGGGAGTCTTCTTCGGCACAGTAGTAGCGACGAGTCCAAGGTGGTGGGTCGGGAACAATTTTCCATACACTCCTGAATGGGCCGCAACACCAGCTTAGGTTTATCGACAACAGATTGGTGCAGTTGGGTATAGGGGTGGCATTTGAATAAATGATGCACCCGAAGTTAACCTTGGTGCGTTTAATGGCTTTTCTGATTCAACCTCAGTGTCGATAAGAAGGAATAAGGAAGAAAATTTGCCGGATGAGAAATATGCTAGCATCATGGAAGCAAGCACGGTCCTAGTATTGGGCATTCAAAATATGAGAAGGGAAGAAATAAGGGAATTGCAACACATTGCGAGAGGCATCACTTACCCCTTCTTGCAACTTTCACCGGAGGATCTATGAGGGTTGCCTAACCTTCCCCTCACATAATTTGATCCACGGAACTCTCCGGTATCTCATCTAAGCTCTTTCAATTTCACTGAGTTGTTTAACTATGATGATAGTGCTAACAACAGGGAAAGGATAAGGGAAGCTATAGAGCATCTCCCGCACTCTTGTGATGATGACTCAGTCCGATATAGTGATTCGGATTCAACTTGGGCTGAGCGCAAAAGACTCAAGAGGCTTCACAGGTTGTCCGAAAAAGGGGGTTTCAACATATGAAGAAAGAGTGGAAAAGGGAATAGGAAATTTGCTTCAAAGACTCTCTCGGATCCGGACATGGCTCTTGAGCTAGGGGTCGAGGTAGATGAGGATATTAAAAAAAGAGCAAAGAAGAAAAGGCTTCAAGAATTCTCATCTTCGTCTTCAGAGTCGTTCAAGAGACAAAAGAGCGAAGAGGTGAACTCGACTCTAAGGGTGGTAGTGGATGACATGGATTTGCAAATCTCTATCTTTGAGTCAGTGAAGATCTCTTCAAATGGTAAGGCGGCTGGACCAGATCAACCTACAGGTGGAATATGAAAGTTGTGGCGTGAAATTGCAGGGGCTTAAATGACCCACACTCTCTTGCAATTCCCTATCTAGTGTGGCTATATCGTTTGAAGTTACCTTTGTTTATGTTTATCTCAGAAACAAAAATGGATTTTGTTAATGTGGCTAGTAAATTATATATGTTACACCCTACTTCAATTTTCGGCTGCAATTCGGATGGAAGTAGTGGAGGGCTCCTAGTGTTAGGTTGGTATAATGATGTAGTGGAATGCTTGTATGCTACAAAAAACTTTATCCTTTGTAAAATTCTTGAAGCTAATGGAAGTCTTATGTATGTCTTGTTTTTGTATGGAGAGCCTCAAGTAGAGAATAGGGAAATTGTTTGGGAACAACTCCAATGGATATTGGAGGAGTTCAAAAATGTGCTTGTAATAGGGGATTTCAACCCAGTAGAAAGTGGAACCGACAAAGTTGGGGGATCGAATCAAATTCGGGGTATCAATTCCTTCTTAGATTGGAGATTTAGCATTAATGTCACATAAGTCCCTTTCTCAGGGCCAAGGTTTACTTGGAGCAACAAAAGGGAAGGAGATGATCTTATTTTGGAAAGGTTAGATCGTGCT